GCTAGCTTCCCAACCTATAGCTTTAACATCATTGCTAAATGTTAAAGAAAAGTATTGTGACAAAAACGAATGAAAAGAAAAAAGGGAAGCATGTAGAGTGCAGGTGAGAGAATCAGGTGATATTACTTTCTGATTTCCTGAGTTCGTGTCATCATGGAAGCTGGAAGAAATGCCAGACTGCAGGGCAAGTAAAATCCACCTGATTGCTATGATTATTAAACTGCCTATCTGATTTAATTATTTATTAACTCAAGATGCAGGAAGCCAGTGACTGGCAACCTATCCAGGATGTACCCCGCCTCTCTCCCTATGACAGCTATATATGCTATGTAGATTGGTTCATTCATGGATGGGTGGATCCTGGTTAACATATGCTTATCACAATCAACCACTGCTGGGCTGCTGTGGACAGTGACTTTAAATTGGAACATCAAATTGCTGTAAAACAAGCAGCATAAAAGAAGGCTAAAAACTCATGCGAGTTCTTCCATACAGTATATATGCAGCCCTAACAGATCTCGACAGCTATGCAGATAGTGCTCTCTCACCTGGAAAATGAATCAAAAGATCATTTTTGCTGATTACAGCTCACCCTTTGGTACAGTTCTTCCCCATAAACAAACTGTGCAACCACAGCCTGGATGCCACACTTTTTGCTTTTTTTTGTTTTTTCTGGCACCCATGTGATTATAATGGATGTGTCCCCTGTTGAGTAGAGGTGACCATTCTTCATATTTAGCAATGGCTGTGGAAATTTGGCATGACATTAAGAATAAAAAAATCAGGAGATCAAATCCAGTCTTTCCACCTTAACCCGACTCACCATACTCTCATTTACTTCCCTTAAGACGTGAAGGGATCTGAACAGAACTGCACACAATAACCTAAATCTGACTCTAGCTGCTATGACACTATTGAACTCATCTATCATTCTGCACTAATGCTTCAAACGCACCTGGCTGTATAGGATTCTTTCACAGTGCTACTTTCTATATTGCCGTTTTCTTGTGATATTCTGGGTTTTTTCTTTCTTTCTTTCTCATGACTCCTCTTGTGAGGGGATTATTTGAATCTGCAAGTTTGCTCACTTAGAGAAATGCTCACAAAGCAACAAGACCATCAAAAAGCTTGTTGGGAAGATGACAACTGTTGGTGGAGTTGTTTGGAAATGGAAGAAATATAAAACAGCCATCGACAGACCTTAATCTGGAACTCCGTGCAAGGTCTTGTTTCATAATTTTGAGGATGGTGGTGGATCAGCCCAAAACTACACAGGAGGAGCTTGTTCATAATCTGAAAGCAGTTGGGACCACCGTCACCACCAAGAACACCACTGATAAGGCACTGCCGACAAGTTCCCCTGGCTAAAGAAGCCATATCTACACGCCCATCTTAAGTTTGTCTGTTTGCCAGTGAACAGAGAAGGCTTGGGGAAAAGTGCTTTGGTCAGATAAATTAAAATTGAGCTCTTTGCAATCAATTCGACCCGTTTGACATAAGAGAGTATGACTCAAAGAGCACCACCCACACAATCAAGCACAAAGTCGGGAACATTATGCTTTGGGGTTGTTTTTCTGCTGCTTCAGTGGACAGGTCCATGTACCATATAATTATCGACAAGAACCTCCTTTACTTTATTAGAATATGGAAGAAGCTGAAGCTTTGAGTTGCCAAACAGAAGCAAAGAAACCTAAAAGTTTTACAGAGTGTCTTTCGAGTTGTGTAAAAAAAAATGGTGGCAAAGTACAACAAAGGGTTCACTGCAGTGCTTGCCAACAAGGGTTTCCCCACAAAGTAGTAGAGTAAGGTATGTTTTGTTTGGGGATTAAATGCTTATTTCATTCAATGACTCTCTCCATTAAAATAGAACTACCATAAAATTACAGTTCATTTCTTTCTTTTCTAAGTGGGCAAACTTACAAATTCAAATAGTTATTTTCACCAGTGTATATGAATACAAACTTTATCCTCACAGACTGTCAACTTTAAAAAAGATGCACAGCTATTTCATGCATTGAGGTGTGTGTGTTATATTGATTACCAATCTCAGAAAAAAAGGGACTTAACTTTCAAGCTATAGCTGCAGTCTTTTTTTATACATGTCATAATGAACGTGAAGTTTTGTTTTCCACCACCTGCGTTCTGCCTGTCTGCTCTCTTTTTTGAGCTTTTACCAGCTTGGCGTTCCTCCATGGTGCCTTTTTTTCTTTTCAGGGATAACTTTGATCTTTGTGGGAGCAATGGCATTAATACAGTCAAAACTTTAGAACTGAAACAAGATCATTGACAGGAGCAGAAGGCAGAGCTGGCTTGGGCATGAAAGCTTGGGTAAATAATGCACAGGTGTTTCCGGTGATATAGAGCTTTATGATTGCCTTGGTTTTTATTCTCCTGGTGTCAGGAGAGACAGTAAGAAGAGAAAACGCAGAAATGAGGAGAAAGGACAACATCAGTCACTGATCATGTTGTTTGCATGCTTGGTGAGAGATTAAATAAATTTAATTCCCATACTGTGTTATTATTCCTTTAAATGAACACAAATAGCGTCCCAGAATCAGTGTGAAATGCTCTGGGATGCTCAGGGGAGTGATGTGTTTGATTTGGATCAGCGTAGATAATGTTTTTGTGCTTATCAGGCTTTATGACTCATCTGTCAGCTTTATAATAACAAATCAAGAAAAGCAGGATTGTTTGCCAGATCACTTCTTTTCTTTTTCTTTTTAAACAAATACCAAAATTCATGTTGTTCTTGTATTGTTAGTTTTAAAATTTCACTCCTATATCTACTTCGTCCTTGTGGGCCTACATAGCTCCAAGCTAAAAAGTAATTTATTACAGCACTGCTCATTCCTTATTGTCCACACTGTAAGGAACCAGGAAGCAACAACACAGTACTCATATTAATGACCACCCATTAAATATGTCAATGGTTTGTCAATGGTCACTAAGAAACACAGTTTGTTGACAAAGGGAAGGGCAAATGATGTGTTTTTTTTTGTTTGTTTTTTTAAACAGGGTGTGGGGTGGTTACTGTCGCTTTGATTTGACGAGGATAATCTAATGGCATTTGAATGACAGATCTGACTCTCAGCCAAGATCTTACCTGGGAGGCCGTGATCTCGTCCTCTCTGCAGGTTCAGCGCAGCCAGGTCCATCTGCTTCAGTGTATCAAGGACCACTAGCCTCTCTGTTACTTCATCAGCCAACAGCATGTCTGTGCTAACAGCTGACGCTGCAGATCCAATTACGCCTCTCAGGACTGGTTCAATCCCCCCTAGAAACAAAAGCCTATTACTTATTTTTCCAGAGTCATTAGTATTAATTATTATTTATAGTTCATGTGTTGTTGTGGGTTGCTGTTAAGACTGTGACTTTGTATTTCTTTTTTGTTTTTTTCTCTATTAAAAAGATAATATATTGCAATGTTATTAAACTGTGAAAACCTCATTCATTTTTTTGGAATACAGCCCGACTATAATCCAGGGGTTGACCACAATGACAAGAAAAACAACATATGGTTGGAAGGTACTGTTTTCTCTGGACTGGATGCTTTCATTGTTGCTGCTCAGAAATCACTCCCGGGCTTGGATTTGGTACTTCCCAGGGGCCCTCCATTGTCCAAACATTTCTTTTCAGCAAATAGAATGAATGGACTGTTGAGGATGAACATGCTGGTTATCATGACAATACATTTTTATAGTTTTATAAAAGTAATAAACATGGTTTTCAGTTGTAAGGCAACTGAACACATCAAGGAAGCAGCAAGGTAACAGCTTCAGCCACTGGAGGTCAGCAAAACATCCCAACTGGTGTCAAGATAATATTTGAGGTAGCATAATCCATTTAAATGTGAGACCAGCTGGTGAAGAGCTAAGTAGACCACATTTTATTGTACAATGTCATGGGGTCAGGGCAGTAGAAATAATAGGATCCACAAAGTCAATCTACCCAGATGACATTTCTCAGCAGAAAGGCTGAGAAATGTCATCTCAGTCTTTCTGCTGTGACGCACCCATAGTGAGCATCACAGTGGAGATGCTCACTATGGGTCCCAGTAAGAAAAAGCAACACAAGGTTTTCTGGGTCAGTGAATTGCTGTTAATAGGTTTTTGTGCAGTATGGTTTTAATGTACTATAAATATTATTGTGAATTGGCCATAATATAATATAGTATGAATATTATAATATATAACTATTTGTTTTGTGTTTGTTTTTTATTTCAAAAATGGATGTTGAAGTTTTAAAGTGGATTAAATATCTCTCATTATTTTTATATTACAAAATATCAAATGAGATTCATGAGAACCAATTGCAACATTCTGACAACATAAAAGATCGTTTTAACTGCTTCAAAAGACGATGAATGATGACGTATGGAATGGCGATGGCAAGTGGAGGTCGATCGCAGAGCCACTGTGGGGAAAAAATGACACTTTTCACAGTCGCATTCTGTCAGTGCATCAAGCTCCATCCGTGATACACGCTGGATCTCCTCCAGTGTGTCCAAACAGTGACCCATCAACTTGTTTTTCATTTTCAAGAAGTGGACTAAGTTGCAGAGAGCCAAATCCGACGAGTGGTCCAGGTGGTGAGCGAAGATTCTGTTGGTGTGGGCAAAAAAAAAAAAACGTCCTGTGTTTTCAGTTAGCTCTGAGCCAGCATGAGATGTCCTTCTGGCAAGCACTGCAGTTCAGATCGTTTCTTCTGAATGCTCTCCCTCAGGACATAACAGTCAAATTTGATACCGGCATTCCCACCCTGGGGGATGAATTTATGGTGCACAGCCTGATGAAGACTAAGGGAAAGAAAGAAAATAAACAAGCATACTCTTGATCTCACTACTCACCTGATGTGCTCAATCTAGGTTTGGAAATTGATCCTTCACACAAAATTTGAGCTAGTTTGAAACAGAACAGAATGTTTGACTTCCAGGATAAAATTGCACACCATATAGCATATGTGGTTGTAACAGTATTTCCAAAAGCATGGTACAGGTATGCTGGAGGCTGTCTGCACATGCCAGAGAACATGATCTTCAATGTGAATTTCAGCCAAGTAAGTGTTCTAATTATTATGGATCTGTTTTTCACACTTTGCACACAGCTATGACCTTAAAATACTTTTCACTGTATGGAAATACAGTGAAAAGTATTTTAAAGTAAAAATGAAAACACCTCAAACTTTTGTAAGCAAACCCAGAAATTCTGATCTTTAGGATATGATAAAAGGTGAGTGTGTCACAGTTGTTCATCAATCCATCCACTTCAGGTTATCCACTTCAACATCACAAGGGAGCTACATGTCGAGCCTATTCCAGCTATCAAGGGGGCAAGAGGTGGGGTGCCAGTCTGTTGCAGCATCAACACAGAGAGTCATGCGCTGACTCATATCTACAACCAATGTAGAATCAGTCGTTAACCTAACCTTATGCATTTGGGGGGGGG